ATAATTGAAGTTTTAGTTTATCACCAAATTCACCCATCTAAGTGCCCAAAGATTTCAAAAGCCACCTTTATAATAGATGAAAATTACATGAAACCTTCCAATATCGCACAGGATAGTGAATAGTACTGGACAACACATCTCTAATGTGAAACACTAGCTATGCGTCCTCACTCTGTCGCAGGTTTGCGTTTTTTTTTCTGTGGAAAAAGAAACGTCTAGCCATTGCATGCGTGTTTAAAGTAAACAAAAAAAAGAAAAAAAGAAAATGAAACAACTATGGTTATAGTTATAATTGAGTTGAATATGTTAATTTTATTTTAATTTTTAATGAGATGATAAAAAATTAATAACTATGACAAACTACCAAGATTTTTTTTAAATAACTAGGGAAAAAAAACTCTACAAGAATATAATGGGTAAAAAAAAGGAAACAAAAACGTTGTTTTATGAAAAACATGTAATTTGAATAATATATAACTTAAATAATAAAAAGCAAGTCAGTTTAAATTAACATATCACTATTTTAAATTACTTAATCTTCTAGACTAGATAATAAGATTGAAATAACTCGATATATCACTATTTTAAAATCCAATCTGACGTTATAGTTTGATCCATTTTCTAGGTGATACAAAGCTAAAGTCGGGTTGGGTTTCTTTAAAAAAAAAGAAAAATTGACCCCATATCATTAGGTCAAAAAAACTAGATTGATCTACAACCCAATTAACCCTAGAAGAACCCAATCAAAACCTGTTGTTTTATTTTTTATTTTTTTCAAAAATATTTTTTTTATATTTTTATAAAATAAAAAATTATGTTGACCCAAGTTAATCCGGGTCAACTTACTTGACCTATGGTAACCCGAGTTAACTCGCCTAATACATGATCCAATACTTGCCTCCGGTTGACCTAAAGGTTTGGAAATTAAGTAGAAAATTATTGATTTTTTTTTTTAAATAATATCATTTTTAGATTTTTATATTTTTAGATTAACCCGGGTTAACTGTCCAATCTAATGGCCCCAACTTTACCTTAAATCAAATTTTAAAATTATAAAAATAATCATATTTAATCTATATATGTCTTAGTTGGATAAATGTTTTTTTTACAATTATATTTTAGAGATAATAAATAATAAAAAATATTTATAAAGACATCATTTTTGTACCTCTTGTTTTATAAATACAAAGATTCACTTAAAAATTATGTTATGGATAAATTTCTTTTTTATATTTATATTTTTATTTATTTAATCAAATATTTTTATTATTTCTGTTTTTTTTTGTCTATCTTCAAAAATTAACTAAACACTGTATGAATGAGCAATATATGTTGTAGACATTTTCCTCAAGTCAAAAAACCAGATTCAAGATGTTGAATATGCTGTTTTTAGTTATGATAATATAACTATTTATCTCAAAACAAGACAACCCTTCTTTTCATCTCTCCTCTTTTAAATAAGTTTCTCTCTCTTTATTTTATACTATCAATAAATTACATGTGAATTTAAATTTTCAGCTTGAATTTAATTTGTTATTAATTTTATTAAAACTTTATATAATCATTAATTTTAAAATTTATAAAATTAATCAAGATACATATAAGTTAACTTAAACATTTACCCATAAAATTAATTAAAATATTGGTAAATAAACATAAACACTCACATTAATAAAAAAAATTTATTTATAAGCTTTAACTTCTTTAATTCATTCTCCCACTCTTCACAAAACATTTGCTTACATCAATTATTATTTCTTAAACTTGTGTTGAATCATTGAAAATCTAGGATCTCTCTTTCTTACTCTTTTTTTATCTTCCAAACAAGTCATTTGTGTGTTTGGGTTGATGTTATGGCTTCAAAACAGTGCACATTCTAAGGTTGTATTGCAAAATAAATAAATAAATAATTGAAGTTTTAGTTTATCACCAAATTCACCCATCTAAGTGCCCAAAGATTTCAAAAGCCACCTTTATAATAGATGAAAATTACATGAAACCTTCCAATATCGCACAGGATAGTGAATAGTACTGGACAACACATCTCTAATGTGAAACACTAGCTATGCGTCCTCACTCTGTCGCAGGTTTGCGTTTTTTTTTCTGTGGAAAAAGAAACGTCTAGCCATTGCATGCGTGTTTAAAGTAAACAAAAAAAAGAAAAAAAGAAAATGAAACAACTATGGTTATAGTTATAATTGAGTTGAATATGTTAATTTTATTTTAATTTTTAATGAGATGATAAAAAATTAATAACTATGACAAACTACCAAGATTTTTTTTAAATAACTAGGGAAAAAAAACTCTACAAGAATATAATGGGTAAAAAAAAGGAAACAAAAACGTTGTTTTATGAAAAACATGTAATTTGAATAATATATAACTTAAATAATAAAAAGCAAGTCAGTTTAAATTAACATATCACTATTTTAAATTACTTAATCTTCTAGACTAGATAATAAGATTGAAATAACTCGATATATCACTATTTTAAAATCCAATCTGACGTTATAGTTTGATCCATTTTCTAGGTGATACAAAGCTAAAGTCGGGTTGGGTTTCTTTAAAAAAAAAGAAAAATTGACCCCATATCATTAGGTCAAAAAAACTAGATTGATCTACAACCCAATTAACCCTAGAAGAACCCAATCAAAACCTGTTGTTTTATTTTTTATTTTTTTCAAAAATATTTTTTTTATATTTTTATAAAATAAAAAATTATGTTGACCCAAGTTAATCCGGGTCAACTTACTTGACCTATGGTAACCCGAGTTAACTCGCCTAATACATGATCCAATACTTGCCTCCGGTTGACCTAAAGGTTTGGTTTGAAAACTATACAATAAATAACTTTTAAAAACTTATTTCTAGGTGATACAAAGCTAAAGTCGGGTCGGGTTTTTTTTTTATTTTTAAAAAATTAACCCCATATGATTAGGTCAAAAAACTAGGTTGATCTACAACCCAATTAACCCTAGAAGAACCCAATCAAAACCTGTTGTTTTTTTTTTCTATTTTTTTCAAAAAGATATTATTTTTATAAAATAAAAAAATATGTTGACCCAAGTTAATGCGGGTCAACTTACTTGATCTATGTTAACCCGAGTTAACTCGCCTAATATATGATCCAATACTTGCCTCAGGTTGATCTAAAGGTTTGGTTTGAAAACCATGTAATAAATAACTTTTAAAAACTTGTGATATAGATCATAAGATCGAAAATACTATATATAAAAAAATAAAAAGTTAAATCATAAAAAATAAATTATATGAAATGATTAAAATACAAAAATAGTAATTAAAAAAAGAGATTCAATCAAAATACAAAATAAGTTATGGGGCAAGAATAATTTTTTTTATCAAAGAATTAAATTAAAAAAAAATAAAATAAAATCTAGGATCAAATTAGAAAAAACATCATCATAGATTTGGATAGGATAAAATTGAAAATTATTAAAACCTTGACAGAAAAATAAAAGAAAAAAATTTAAATTAAAAAAATCAAATTAAAAAAACATTATTTATGACAAATTATTATTGAAAATAAATAAAAAAACTAAGGATAAAAACTAAAAAATAAAAGAATAAAAACTAAAATTCATATATGAAGAATATAAATGACCGGGTTATATTTTTCAGGTAGAAGAAAGAAAAGAAGAAGAAAAAAAGCTGACCCGTTAGAAATTGCCCAACATCTATTGACACTCATCGCACAAAGAGAAAAATGATGCGATTTAAGGATATTAATAATATTTAATTAATATAAAAAATCATATATACCCTTGATTACCTCCAACAATTATAAAAAACTAATACAAAAAGATTTAAACGCGAAGAGCATATTTGTCAATTCACTTGACATTAACAAACAAAGAGATTTATTAATCATCCCTAATGCCAAGTTTATAATTTTTTAATTTTAGAGTTAATTATGCCATTTTATAATAAAAAAGTGATAAAAAAATTATACTTTCAAATAAATTTTTAATAATTAATGTGTCATAAAAAAAAACTAAAATACCTCTAGAATAAAAAACATATGGATTTTTTTAGAATGCCAAAGCAATCAATTTTTTTTATTATTATAGTGAATAAAAAAATGTGTCCTTTTCTTTATCCAATCTTCTGAATGTACAATGATCCTTTTTTTTTTTTATTTATCCAATCTTCTGAATGTACAATGATCTTTTTTTTTTTAAAAAAAAAAAGTTGGTGAGACAACTATATTAAATGACTCATTTATACCAAACTTCAATTCTCACACTCTAGTATAGTATTTATTTATGTATTTATGTGAGTCCTATATTTTATACAATTTTAAGCCAATCACCCACAATTTTCACTTTGATTACAAACTAGTTATGTAAATTAATTTTCTTCAATATAAACAATTACACTTTTATTCATAAATAACTTAATTACATGATTCAACACATGTTTTTTAACAATTTAGAAAGGGACTGAATTACAACTAAATAATATTTAAGGACTTAATTGCACTAATGTGAACCACAAGGACTATACCAAGATTTTTGCTGAAAAATCCTAGCAGCACCTTCATCTTCCTTCCTTCATGCACATCTCCCATTCACTGCTTGGCACCACTCAGGCAATCAAGTCACCTCAAATGATCGCAAGGAATAAAAAGAAGTCATTTTTGTCTTCTAAACAACACTTTTACACTTAAAAAGAACAATTTTCAAACTCAAATCTTTAACTTTTAGTTACAAAATTTTTAAATCGTAAAACACTCATATCAGATTGTAAAGTGGATCCAAATTTGATATGAATAAACTCTTAGTGATGAGACCTTTCATTTGATAATGTTTTCGTTGCCATTGGTAGCAGTCAAACCATGACGAAGATCAATAATATATAGAATTTAGATTGTTTGTATATTAGAAGAAGAATATACCAACTTCGGTTATGAACAACTTCTGCTATGAATTTGGAGAATGAATTACAAATAATTTTAAACTAAAAAATTTAGAAAACATGAGTGTAAGCGGATGCAAGTGCAACTTCTGCTATATTTGTTTCAGCTTTTTGGTGGGGGGCTGCTCATCAGAACTAATACTTCCGCTGGCCTCTCCAACATCATTAGTAGGACCGAGTCATCCGATTCAACACCCTCGAAAACATTCATCAACACCCTCGAAAGTTGAGTTCTCATGTAGATTTGTCATCCGGTTTAACTCTTCAACATCTTGCTGGTATACAAGACGAACTCCACACTTGATCACCTTTGTTTGAGAACAGTATTCTTCGAACCTGAACCTAACGTGACGGTCGAATCTTTTGAAACGAGAAGGGTAATACAGAAACCAAAGGTGATCTGACAAAATCTCACACGGTTTCAATCTCACATAAACGCTTCCCGACTCATTTCCATCGCCGTTAAAAAGACATTGCATAGGAGATCGACGTACCGAAGGTGGAAAATCAGGATATCCCAAAGAAGCACATACAGCATATCCCAACCACTGATCATTTTCATGGGAATGGGGAGGTGTTTGTACACTCACTGCTGGCCCCTCACTCTGATGGCTGAACCAAGTTGGAATTTCACTTCCAGGAATAATGACACAAAATGATTCGATTAAATTAGGAGGGCCCTACAGCATAGAATGCAAATTGTTATATATA